AAGTCCATAAAGAGGACTCGTGCGTACGTCCCTGGAGAGTCGAGGTGTTGCAGGATGTAATGCAGTGTCATGTTCACTGCATTGTCCACTGACCTGTTTGCCTGGTAGGCGAACTGCAGGGGGTCCAGCAGGGGGTCAACAATGTCCTTCAGGTGGGCTGACACCAGTCTTTCAAAGGACTTCATAACTACAGATGTCAGGGCGACAGGTCTGTAGTCGTTCAGTCCACTGATGGGGAGTTTCTTAAGGACTGGAATTATGGTGGATCGTTTGAAGCAGGAGGGGACTTCACACAGCTCCAATGACCTGTTGAAGATGAGTGTGAAGATGGGGGCCAGCTGATCAGCACTCACTTTCAAGCAGGAGGGGGTCACACCATATGGGCCTGGTGCCTTTCTGGTCCTTTGTTTTTTTAAAGAGGCCACACACATCCTTTTCACAGATTGTTAGAGGTGGGGGGCAGGGAGGAAGAGTAATTTTTGGGGGAGTGGCTGCTGGATCTGAGGTGGGTACGAGTCATTGGTCAACACCTGGTCCCTCAGCTTTTTTTGCTACTCTGATCTCCCTTGTCAGTGTGTTCCTGGCCTGGCTGTACAGAGTCCTGTCCCCACTTCTGTAAGCTTCTGTGGCACGACGAAGCTGCTTACTGAAGTTACTGTGAACCAGGGCTTATTGTTGTTGTATGTGCAGAAGGTCTTTTTGGGCACACACACATCCTCACAGAAACTGATATAAGATGTGACATTGTCAGTGAGTTCATCCAGGTCTGTAGCTGCAGTCTCAAATACACTCCAGTCTGTGCAGTCAAAGCAGGCCTATAGCTCTGACTTATCCTCCTCAGACCAGCTCTTCACTGTTTTGACCACAGGCTTTGCAACTTTAAGTTTCTGCCTGTAGGTTGGAATAAGATGGACCATACAGTGATCAGAGCATCTGAGGGCTGCGCAGGGGACAGAGCAATAGTGTCTTTTATTGTTGTGTAGCAGTGGTCCAGTGTGATTTTGTCCCTGGTGGGACAGGTGACGTGCTTTCTGTCCCATTCTTGTGAATGTGATATCTTGTGAGGATTTCTTCAAATTTGGCACAAACAACTACTTGGATTGGACAATATAACAAAGTTCTCTATCAGTCTTTTGTATTCCTCTATAAAAACTGTCTCAACTTGACTGGTTGGTGGATGCATACACCCATGAGGTGGTAATTGTTGTAGGAGTTTTGACAGGTGATTTTAAAACATTTCACAAATTACATTTATCATATTGCACTTGCTGCTTTTTTAAAACAGAGTATTACACTATAAGTCTATGTTTAACATATGAATATATTGTTCATGTTTGAGAAGACATAAAATGATGAAATGTACAGTGTTTCCTCTTGATTAAAATTTGACTAAAGTTGCACATTTTGTGTATGTATCTTTTTATGTATGGGTTATGATTACACATTGGGAAGATACACTGATCAAGCGTAACATTATAACCACTGGCAGGGGAAGTGAATAACACTGACTATCTGTTGCAGTGGCACCTGTCAGTGTGTGGGGTATATTAGGCAGCAAGTGAACATTCAGTCCTCAAAGTTGATGTGTTGGAAGCAGGAAAAATGGGCAAGTGTAAGGATCTGAGTGACTTTGACAAGGACCAGACTGTGATGGTGAGATGACTGGGTCAGAGCATCTCCCACACTGCAGGTCTTGGTGGGTGTTGTTGGTCTGCAGTGGTTAGTACCTACCAACAGTGTCTAAGGAAGGACAAATGGTGAACTGGAGACAGGGTCATGGACGCCCACGGCTCACTGATGAGGAGGTTGGCCTACTGTAGATTAAACTATGTACTTTTCAAAAGATTAAAATTGATTTGAATCTTTGTTAAAATGGTTGAAAATGAGAAATACTGTCCATTGGTCTCTATGAAGAGAAAGAGTCAGGGGCTGTAGTGGTGATATCACATCTAGAGTGGTGAGGCTGTTGGATTTGTCTAAACAATTCTCTGTAATTGTCCTCACAACCACAGTTTTCATTCCTTTTACATAAGTTTTTCACTGAATTGTAGACACATCTCTGCTCTTCCTGACAGTAGAACTGTGGAAGCAAATGGATTCACAGAAGATGCACAGTAAGCTGCAGAGTGACACGAGTGCCAACCAACTGCTGCATTGACTCCTATGTAAACAGTATTAGGCAGGTGGTCATAATGTTATGGCTGATCAGTGTATGTAAATCAGAAAACAGTTTATGAACGATTTACCAACAAGGACCCATTATCTAATATCCAATGTAGAATTGCATCGATAGCTATAATGAAAAAAGTGATTCTCTCCAGTAAGTAGGCCTCTCGGTGCTGAGTCTAATGTATATTTCAGTGTCTTTCTGCCCTCTGCTGCCCAAGTACTGTAAAATAACAGTGAAAAAAAGTCAACAAAGAGTACTTACTTAATTGTGTAAAATGAAGAATGTGTACAGTATGTGGCAATCTGTAGAAGTACTGTACTGAAATACGTTTGCCGTTTCAATATGACCGACAGACTAAATGAACCACTACAGTTATCATATGGTAGTTATTATACTACAGTTATTGCACTTCTGGTTAGATGCTAAACTGTATTTCTTTGCCTTGTATTTGGGCATGTGTAATGAGCAATAGGTCTCCGCTAAATCTTCAACCTCATTCCAACCTGTATGTGACTGGGAAGAGTCATGTCTATTCACTCACATTAATTGATTGCATTGTCTAGACTGCTGGAGGAAAATGATTCAGTAAATTATAAGAACACAAACCAAACAAACAGGACATCAATCATATGCTTATGGGTGTATTTTAATAAAAATAATTATTTCAAAATTAAACAGAATACAATATTTCTTCTTTAACATGTTTCCACTACATAGATATTTTTTTTCAAATATCATGTTTCCTTTTTTGTATCATTTGAAATGTTTTAAAAGTCATGCTAAGTAGAGTAACTCATTTCACAACTGTTTCTTTTTTTTTTGTTGCTAAAACTTAAAAGTCAAAGTATGAAATTAAAATCATGATAGAAGTCAATTGTGCAGAGCTTCTCTGTGATGCTGGAATCCATTTCTCTGGCCTCTCCAGAATAAGTCCACATGGATTCAGAGGCCTCTGGGCCCATTTCCAAAACAGTTCACACCCTTCCCTCCTAAGGCCACTGATCACATCAGTGGCTATGTCTACGCAGGGAGGAAAGGAAGGGTGTGTGGTGACAGCACTGAGTCACGGCTCAGGCTCAAACACAAGGACAGCCAGGAGACTTATTCCCTACAGGTATGCAACAGAGGTTGTTCATTCATGTACAGGTGTGTGTAACAGAAGTCCTTTACAGCTGTAGAAGCAGATGTCATGTGTGTACAGCAGGCATAGTTATTAGAAGAGTTTCTATTATAGCAGAAGGTGTTTCATTAAAACCACCTTGTTAAGATGTTTGACTACATACCCTGTAGTAAGTCCCACACTGCATACACACATCTTTAGTATTACATTAGTCCATATTTTTCTACCACAGACTTATTTGCTGATAAATGGAAAAATAAACTTCAGGATCTATGAGCCATTTTTCACACCACAACAAAACCATCGGAGTGACAGTCAGGCAACATTCAGTCACTGCTATTTGGTAAAACCATTAAAAAATATTTAAATATTTTTGATAAAGCTAAGGCATGGCACAAAACAACTTTGTTATCAAACTCCAATTAACGATACAGATGGAAACTGGCTGCAGTTGAGTACAATTTGTAATTTTACCATGAACATCTGTTTGATACACCCACAAACAAAAAATTGGGGTCTTGACTTTTCAAATAAACAACAACTGAGATGAGGGACACACAATTAGAACTCAGGCTAAATGCCAAAATTAGATAGTGGCCTCTACAAGAGAAGTCAGCATGTCTAATATTAGATAAGTAAACAAGAGAGTATGAAATAAATAATCTTACACAAACATAGAGTAAAATATATAAAAGTGTCAATAAACTGTAGGATAATTTTACAAATTAATGAAACAACTCATGTCCAGCTGGCTAACTCCTTTTGGCTACAGTGACCCCAGTAAAAGTCTCAGTGTTTTTGTGCATCTTCCTTTTAGGAACATTTTCAGAATCAAAACACTGAAATAAATAGCTAGAGATAAGATGTGAGGGGACTAGTGACATTAATCAAACTTTAGCTTCAATAGTTTATTACATCATTTCAAAATGTATTGTTCCAAGGTATATATTTCAGTCTACTTTTTCATATGGATTTATTTCATAATGTTTTATTTGTTTAATATGGAAAATTCTGGGGCTGTATAAGTCTCTGACAGCAAGGAATAAATGACCAAAGTTGTAGCTGTAATTTTATGTTGTTGGGGGTTGTAAGTGGTATTTGGTGGCTTTGTTACTACTGATCTGGCTCTAATACAGGAACCCCTGAACAGGAACAATGTAATAACGTCTCTATAAATCTCACAGTGGCCAGCAATGAAATCTAATAATAAAAAGATCCTTCTTTTCCAACTTATCAGGTTATTGCACAGGTTGAACATTCTGGGACAATTTTTTGAGTCTGGGCAACACATTTGACTTAGCTATATCCTTCTATCCAGTAACAGGAAGAACATAGCCAAGTATATGGGTGTTAAGAGAAATTTGGGAAGGGGGGGACACATGACAGAAAAAGACTTTTCCCAACAAACAGAACTGATTTTGTGGCTTTTAAGTGGTTTGAAATCAAAATGAAAGAAAGAAAGACTAATTCAATTATCACAAAGTGCAGCCTAAAATTAATAACCTTTCTGTTTGGCAAATGATTTCACCTCTTTATTTGAAAGTGTAATTGCAACAGCAAATGCACAGCACAGGTCAGGCTGCGGAAGATTTAAAAAAAACTGCAGTAATGAAATCCCTGGGGGAGACTTGACTTATAGTTGTACACACACTGCTTGTTAGTCTGCCTTTGATACAGATTTTCTCTATGCTGGCATCAAGGTGGCTATGATAGTGCTAGGTTTGGTGCCGACACCTGCAACCACATCACTGATTGGTCAATGCTGCGGTTGTTAGAGTAAAATTAAGGCTCCAACACCTCTAATATTCCAATTTAATCCCCTGTCATCACCCTTCTCCCCTGGTTACTGGCAGTGTTTGCCACTACAGGGGCCCTTCAATTATGTTTCATACCTAGGTGATGTTTTTCAGGATTTGTTCTGTTCTTTGGCTACTGACCTGTTAGCGCACAGTATTTCATTCTTGAAAACATAACAACTATAACTTGGGAAGGTTCTGGCAATAAAGTACAGCCACCAAATCTTTATTTCCAACTTTCTGGAATCATTTGAGGACTCACTTTTGTTTTACATTAGCCCATTTTCTATTTTAAATCAGTGTTTACTACTGTATTGCTTGACCAGAGCCAATCTGCTCTAAACAATTAGAGGTGTTTTTTATGCTGAGCACTTGTTTGCTCACGCTCCATTTGAATGCACTTCTAAGTCTTTATTTCAGGGGAATAATGTACTGTGTCTGTCTGTCTTCTGTATCGTATTAAAAGTGATGTAATGTACCTCCAGTTTTGTTACATTGACCTATGGTTGTGGGGGTCACCATGGTAACCAGCTCTGGGTATTGTGGTTTATGACATGGTGAACAACAATGACACTGTGAATAAAATACTGACCATAGGGAATCAAAATCCACCCATTAAAAGAGAAGACAAAATAAAAAGGGGGATTAAACAATTTACTTTGTCCAGGATGAGCACAACAAACTCACAAAAAACCTTAAAAAAGGCTAAATAAACACAATAATAATTATCTTTAAATAGTGTCACACAATCCTTTATTTGATAATACTAAATGAAAAGGAAGTTTTCCTCTCTCTCATTCTCCTCTCCTCTGTCTGTTACTGGCTTGGTATGGCAGACAGCCAAGCATACCAATCACGCATGCTTTTTCCTCCATCAACATGGCAACTGCCTGCTGCACATGCCTTCTCTCAGTGCTACTTAACATTAACCTGTGGAGAGATGGGTAATCATCAAGGCAAGGTAATGAATGAATGAATGTAGCATGATTAAAACAGCTTGCTGTTATACTCCTGAACACTTTACTGTTTTAGTATTTTAATTTTAGTTGTGGTGTTGTGTCTTTTTCTTATTGTGTTACATCATCTGTCTATACAGTATTTCCATTGTTATTCCATTAACTTTCTGTACAGGGCACTCAACATGTTAAATGTTACTTACCAAAACAAAATAGGAAAGCTAAAATATAAAAAATTCCTAACTTATTATGGCTAACACTGACTTGAGCATCAGTCGGTATGAATTAAACAAGTTAACCCAACAACCACCAACAATGTGTAAAGCTTTAATATTGTTGCTATGGTTATTCAGTAGGCTAGGCCACCATGACCACTGATTCAGGGCTGTGATTAAACTGTTAACTAATGCAACACTGGGCCACATGCAAGAACGTTGTTGTTTTCTAATCCTAAACCTCACAAGAGGCTTGCTTGTGGGAGTGTTCCAAGTCAAATTCACTGTAAAACTATTTGTTTGAGCTGCCTGTACATCAAGAGGTGTGCATTCATAATAGATGCATAGACTAGGGCTACCTATTCTGCTCCATTTGTAGGCAATTTTCATTAACAAAACGTTTTGGACCTGATTCTACTACAATTATGCCTTGCAATAGTACTGTATGTCTCTGACAACCTGCCAAGTTGCAGTTTGCATGAATATCTGTCCAGAGTCATATATGCAAGTGAAGACTTTGAAAGAATTTAATAAAAATTAAAGTTATCACTATATTGACATGTGTGATTCTAGTGAATAATTTTCAGTGCTGTCTTCTTAGAGCCTATTTTTATTGAGGAGAACAGAGGACTGACTGAGAGCTGTGTCACATCATCCTTGAGTCCAAGTTCACATTTGTGCCAAATGTGAAAAAAATTCCCTCAAGGCATCCTGAGATATCACATTCATGAGAATGGGATAGAGGCACAACCCAAAAACATACTGCCTCCAGTCACGGCTGTCGCTAGTGCAGAAGAGGAGAAACTGATGAAAGATACAAAATATCTTAAATTATTTGTACATGCCATTTAAGAACAAATATGTTTGAACAAGTGGTTCTTGCATGAGGCCCATTTTGCACAATATACAATTTGAACAAACACCTGCCAGCCAATCAGAAACAAGTATCATCCAACTTAGTGGTATGAATGTCTTAAAAACCATAATTTGCTCACCTGGACCTGGGCTAGTGCAAAAAGTTGTCTACTCTGGCGAATGAACAGGAACCAGACCGGACTCGGGCCATGAGCTGAACACACTCTGTGGCTTGACCCAATGCCAACATGAGTGGAGGCTGCTTAGGCAGATTTTGGGACTCTAAAGCAGAAAAACAGCCAGACAAGGATGCAACATGAGTCACAATGCACAAAAAATGAGCTTCATATGAATTACTGTTAAGAGGAGGTTTTCTTTTCTTTATATTTTGTATGTATTTGCTTGTTTTGTTTTTTGGTGGAGTGGGCATGTATGTATGGGTGCTTTCGTCTAAAGGGTATCAAATCAGAGTTTCCACTATTTTCCCCCATTTTTGCTATTCTTAAAGAACAACAGCAATACTGAGGTTTGTGCTAAATGTCTCAGCTTTTCTAACTTCCAAAGAAGTTGTTTGAGACCTTCAATCGTATAGAAAAAGATAGAGGGATAGAGCAGGTAATTCATCAGATTTGATTTCATTCTGTTAGGGCACAGTGCAGTTTTTTAAACCGCGTGGATTATGTTATATACTGCTTTTTTCTAAGTGACAGAAAACAATCTATGTAACATGTAATCAAAAAAACTGTGCCACTTAGGTCAGTTATTTAAAAAATTCAAATTTAAAATCAAATCCAAATCTGATCACTTGGGGCAGCCACTGAAAAATGATTGAATATTATATGGATAAATAAGGTAGACTATAAACTACAGGCTCCATAACCAGTTTATATTCCCCTCTATTTTTTCTGTCTATGCCATGGAGCATTGGCTATGACTACACGTAAAGTAAGTACTCAAAAAAGCTGCTGCTGTAGTTTGAAGAAATACAAGTATGTGTCTGTGTTTGCTCTTTACCCAGTATGGCACTGTTGAGTGCGGAGCAGAGGGATTCTCTCTGTGTGGGGTCTAATTGCTGGCCAACGGGGCAGTTCCATGGGTCAGAGTATGCTAGCAGACTGAACGCATCCTACACAGACAGAAAGACATACGGACAGGGGCCAGCATCAGTACAATGCTGCAGTGCAGATATCCTCCACCTTGTTTGGCTGGACTTCACTGTAGATGTGTCATCTGGCTCTAAAACTGTATATTTAATTTAATGTGAAGCAACTGACCAGACATTACTGTTTGATCTGTACAGTATCTTCAAAAAACATTGTCCTGTGCTTTTCAAATATGTTTATTGGTTTCCAAAGATATTTTTTACAATTTTTGGTCCCATTAAGCTGAAAGGAACTACAGTGTTCCTTTGGTTTCAGTCAGGCAAAGAGAGAGACAAGTGCCTTAATTTCAAATTCACAACTAGCATCCTTGCTGTGAACATTAAGAGTGGAATTATGACTCTGCTAGGTAAACCATGTACAGCAAGACCATCTATGTGTTGTTTTTTGTTTTGTGGCACCTCCTAGAAATTAACACCCAGTTTAGCAGTTTTGTGCAGAATTTTAGCTTTAGTCCTCTTACTGTACACAATCTGAATGTTCCATTGATGTAGCTGGTCATATAAAACCATAGGCAGCTGTTTCCAACAAGTAAACTAAGACTGCACATGGTAGAGGACTGGAGTAAATGAGCAACCAGGCAACATAATCACACATCTGACAGACAAAAGACACAAATAATCTTACTTTAATAAGGTGGCCAGAAGTATGGCCTCAACTGGATGATAATGTCACTCGGCATCTGCTGAGTGTGACTTAATTAGCTGAAAGTAGCTACAGTACGCTTAGCTATGCTAGTATAATTAGCTACAGTATGTCCCCCGTGTTTCTGTGGCTCTATTTGAAGCCATGCTGGCCCCCTGGTGGTTACAAAAATGACTAGTCAATCACTTAAAAATGACAATGCCCTTTTTGGAAATGTGGTCGTTTCCAGCATGCCCCACATGTTGAAAGATAGCTGGGATTCCATCTCCTTTATTAGACCATATCTGAAACTGAATTTCACTCCAATTCCAGCAGCACATAAAGAATACTGCGACCAGGATTTTAACCAGTGCCAACAGAAGAAATATCTTTAGCTCCATTCCTGCAGCACTTCAGCCTGTTCTGGTACAGCTGTTTGTTGAGCTCAAGCCTTTGTGTACATGCAGTTATATGCGTATACCTGTAACATCTTCTTGTGTGTAGCATTCTTGCCGTACTCGTGGCACAGCTGCTCATTGAGCGCCTGCAGCTCCCGTCCAAACTGGATCATCCGCTCTGTGGCTGCCTGGTTACCTCCACAAAGCTGTTTGCTATTACTACAACCCTCATCTTCTGGCGACACACACACACACACACACACACACCCACACACACACACACAAACTACATATGCTGTAAAATCATCCCGTAGAAAGCTGAACATAAGACAGGAGGAATAAAAGGATGCAGCAAAAAGCAAGAAAAACAACAAAGTAAAGGAAAGAACAAATGATAAAGAGCATGACAAAAGGAAGAAAGGTGTAGGAGCACATTATCCTGTGGTCTACAGTATGTGTGTGCGTGCATATACCTGTGACCCCATTTCCAATACGGTTGCCTTCTGGCTGAAGGATCTCTTCGTGTTTGTATGTACCATTCATGATTCGTGCAGAGGAGCCCTCAACAACTCCGTTGGTATAGTGCTCTGCTTCTATCTCCATCTCACTGTCACTACACACACAGAGACAAATGACAGACAGGAATGGAAAACATAAAGAATGAAATTTCACAAAATAACAATGTAAACAGACTGATAACGTTTAATGCTCCAGGTAACTTGACTTGACAAGTAGTTCAGAAACTGACACTGACTTGGCGGTTATTATCTGAACAGATTTTTACAACCAGTACTGTACCATTATCCCTAAAGGATATTAGACTTCAGTAATCACTTATATTGCTGCTAACAGGCACAGTAGCTGCATCTGCATGTCTCAGCTCTAAAGTCAGTGACTCAAATGTTACCATCATGTAATGTTACAGATGGCCAGAAATACAACAGTAACACCTATAATGAAGCAGTCTGTGCTTCTCAAAATTAAGGATAACATCCCCAAAAAGTCTGTTGCCTCCTGACATTAAAATATTGCTACTTGTACACCATGCTGGGTGGCAGATCCAACATAGCCCTTGGTATAAATTACTATGCATTCACTACAAGAGATGACACAATTGAAACTTTGTAGACTGTAAAATGTAATAAAGGCAGCGGCCATCAGAACACTGATAATAGGCACATCCAACCATCATCTCTACTCATTTGTCACCATATTGTGGATACCTGCTACATCTGCTACCAGTGTGAACATCCTTCTCTGTATTAACACGGAAAGCCCTGGACTTGTCCACTCCAGGCTTTTCTGCTAATCAGACTGACAGGCCTTCTCACCTTGTTTCCTGGGTGCTGTTGGTGCTGTGTGGCTGGCTCTTAGTAGAGTCAGAGGAGTTGGACTCAGAGTAGTTGACTGAAGAAGGGGAGGAGGAGGAGGAAGAGGAGGTAGAGGAGGACATGCTGGGGTATTTGATGCTGCTGCTGCCAGTGGTGCTGTGGCTTTTTGGCTTGTTGGAGGGCGTCACCCCGTTACTGCAGGTAGGGCTGTCTGCTCCTGGAGATGAAAAACACAGACCTACTTCTTAAGATTACTGCATTGCTGTGTTTTTAGGCATTTCAATCTTTGTCAGTGTGTTCCTCTATCAGGATGCATGTGTACCTCCGATGCGCAGGTGTGTGTTGCTGGCTCCGTGTCGGGGACTGAGGCTGGGGGAACCAGGGTAACTGTCCTGAGACTTGGGGGAGCGAATGGTCAAGCAGCGAACCTCACTGTCTGTACCATTCACCATCTCCACAAACTGACGACACCTAAAAAGAAGAGCATACTGGTGGTACTTGTATCTCCTGAAAAATTACATGTCTGCTAGAAATATTATGGTTATCATCAAGCTAACGCACTTCCACAACAGCCATGGCGCTCAGCTTTACAAATAATGTACTCTTACGGCATCTCCATGCTCTGATGTTGTAGTACTCGAGTTCAGGACTCAGACTCGAGTCTGACTCAAGTCAGGACACGTGACTTGACTTAGATTTGAACACTGATGACTTGAACTGGACTTGAGCATTGACTGCATTTGGGCACAGATGTACGTACACTCTGCCTTTCTATAAATTATTTCTATGTATCAAATTGCTGAGCAATATGGTGATGCAATACAAAGTTTGGAATATAAAATGGTGAGAACTGTGTCCGTTGTGTTTCATTTATATCTTGATTACTCTGACTTGGGTAACAGGGACTTGACTCAAGTTATTTTTTGGCGACTCAGCTCAATTTGGACATGAGGTTTAGTGATTTGGCTACAACAGTGGTTTGATCTTAATTTTTAAACAGTGCCAATTTACTTCAACATGAATAGTAGATTGGGGTTGTGTTCTAACAGGCCAGGATAAAGCTGCTGTGTAGCTTCTATGGCTTCGCCCACCCGTCCTGCCAGCACCAGCTTCTGTATTCCTATCAGACAAAAGAAACAAGAGGCTATTCACAGTATACAGATCAAGACGAATCATGCGTCATTCCTAGAAGTCACACGTCATCAGAGAAAAACACTCACAATATTGTGTAGTATACAATTCTGTATCCGTTTTGTTTCATCATATAGTTCACAATTTGAGGGGCAAAAAGATTTTACTTAATGACAAGTCAAATGAGAGCATGGAATGGTGCATGTGGCTGGTTTTTTCATTCACTCTGTCTGTTCTTTATAGATGCCTGATCCTCCTGTATCATGGTCTCCGTAGCTCTGGCGAAGGCAGTTGCGGTGGCGCAGTAACCGTGGTGCACCAGGTAGCTGGATACCATACTGTGGACAGAACATGAAAAGATTAAATGTTGAATTCCTTAAAAAGATTTAACAAAGTACACTGCATTTTGAGGCTATTCCAATGCCCTTGTAACGATGAAAACACAATCATAAATTTGTGATGTTCTACACGTACCCACTCCCCTATACTATGTAACATGGTCACACACTTAGAAGAGAGCTTTATAATTTTGTAAAGGAAAATCATATAAAAATGGGCTGACCTAGTAGCCTATGATAGATGCCATATACTACTGGTGACAACTTCCCTGGTTCAGGGAGACTTGATACTGGTCATTTCCCTTCCCTCCACAATACAGCTGACACATCCAGATTTATTTCTGAACTACTAAATGTGAGTAATTATGTCTTTATCTGAATCTTACTTCTGCAGGACTGCCTGCCACTCCCCCAGCCTCTCTCCTATGGGGAAGCAAGCGATCATGCCATGGATCTTGGCTCGCCATTCACTCATGTAGTCCTCGATATCAAAAACAAAGGGCTGCTGGCCAAAGTTAGCGTCTACGATCTCACCTGGGGTCTGAAGCCCCACAGTGGGGTACAGGTTGGGCTGGAAGATATTAAAAACAGAAAATAATTCAGGTTACAACACTGCATTAATATTTACATAATTAAAACATACTGAACAACATATTATGCCCTGTATTTATAGCCAATTATTACAGACCATTTATTATATTATCAAGTTGCACCAAAGTTGCTTCCTTGCCTGCTTATCAAACTGATACATTAAGTCAGTCCCACTGTAACTTTTTAATTGCATGCTAGCCAGATAGCAGGACAGACATATGGACAGACAGACAGTTAGGGATACAGGTGAATGCAAACTGGCTAACAGCACAAACCGTAAACTATAATAGCTCTTCACTAGTCTGTCTTTAGTGTTATAATGTTCAGTTTTACACAAAGGAATTTGTCTGTGGGGGCATGCTATAACCACTAACAGGAAGCGCTGATGTTTAGGTTGGTAACTCCATCTGCTCCTGCATCCATTGTGGCCAGCATCCAACTGTGACACTGACTTCTTGTTCTGTTCTTAAAACCAGTTTGATTGGTAAAACCGTCAAAGTGGCCAGTTTTTCTTTCAGGATAATGTTCCACTTACTGCAGCCACTGGACGGAAAAATTTCCAAGCCAACGGCCAACATAAACTGAAATTAAATTTGGACCTGCATGGTTGATTTCAGTCTGTCAGTCACTAGAGTTACAGAAATGCTATAATAAAGATGATGGGGGTTTGGTATCATAATAGTAGTGTAATGTGTAGTCATTTGTGAAGGGATATACTCTATATTTTCTTCAAAACATCGTCTCCAAACAATCAAGAATCAAGCCGCTGCAGAATCAAAACTGAAACCAGGTAAGTAAATAATAGATACTTACAGGCAGGTCTGTAAAGGCTACACCTAAAGGATAAAAGCACAGTTAAATGCCCAGTATATATAAAGGCTCTTTAAGCAAAACATTTAAACCACCACCTAAGTTAAAATGCAATTAATTCACCTACACATCCAAAACATGTTCACCAACCTAAACTGATGCCATTTTTGGTGTAAAAACAAGTGTTGTTGATGAGGTTAACACAGCAGCCAATCACATCTCCCGTGGTGAATGTTGGGCCATATGGTTGGCCAGTCCCGGAGGAGCAGAAGGAGTGGCCGTCATCTCCATGGTAACCGTATGAGTGCTTGTCCCATCCTAAAATGGGACAAGGATTAGGATTAGTTTTGTCATTTCATAATTCACCCCTTGTGAAAATGTGGTGTTGTTAGTCAAACTACTGTGAGCAACAACACTGGAAAAGGTTGATAAATATGCCTGTTGATTTACAGCAGTCTAATACTACACACATCAAGCAGAAGCAGCTCAGTATAAAACACTCTCTGTTTCCACTGGAGCATCTGAGGTGGCGTGACTCGCTCGAGGCCACTGTTAACAGTAGCTGCTGCTGAAGGAAGGGAGACAGTTAGTCATTGACTTCTGCTGCTCAGATTTTCCCATCTGACTACCACTGCCTGCGAGGCGTCTCAGGAAAATTCACACAGACACACACAAACACAGACTTCTGATACTTTGGCATGTTGTGCAGTGCCCTCAATAACCAGCAGAGGGCCTCATCTATATAAAGAAACTGGTGAGTCACTCAGCAGCACAGGAGGCTGAACCAGGAGAGTGCAGGGAGCGAAACAGATATGCTGTGATTGCCCGATTTCTTGTTCCTGTTGGTATTAATACACATGTGTGGAATTCTGAGCTGTTTATTCTGCCAGATGTTAGTTTAAAAAAACCACTGTAGAGTAAGAAGTGCAGTATTCAATATATGCTCAGTAAATTTGTTAACGCTTTACGCATCTGTCATTCCTAAAAATTTCCAAGGATGTTTGTTTACTGTAATTTCATGCAAATGAAAATGCAAACTGTGCACTATGGGCTTTTTTCAAAACAGACATTTGGAGTTATTACAGCATAAAAAGAAAGCGAAGGCATTAATTAATAACATCAGCAATGGCTCTGTTTCCCAGTAAGCCAATGGGACAGTGTGGTTTTTGTGGAAATTTGAAACAAATTTTAAGAATATCTCTCGAGTTCTTTTTCTTTTTTCTTTTTTTTTTTTTACATTAACAAAAGAGGCAAACAATTGCGGTTCTAGTTAAACCCCCTGTTTGTAATTTATAAAATTGGAAATGGTTCCAGTTCAGGAGTGCGCAGTAACTTAATTCAACAATTTGTTCCATCGTTAGTTAACTTTTAAGTTAACTGAGGGTATTAAGTTGTGTGTGTGAAAGTGTGTAGTGTGTGTGTATCCAACTCTATGCAGACTGATATTCATTACTTAAGGGAAAACAGAATTAAACCAAATAAATTAGGAAAATGGAGGGGGTATAAATGTAAAGGAATGAAAAGTCAGTTTGATAAAAAAATGAATGATTGTAGTAATAAAATAAAGAAAAAAAGCAATAAAGCAATATCAATACTATATATTTTTCCATTCACATACTTATATACTGTATACACTCAGATATATATGTAAACACATTCATAAAACAAAAATAAATGAAATTAACAGATCAGTAAATGATTAGAAAGAGAGGGAA